CAACTCAACACAACACAACCCAACTCAACCCATCCCAACTGGGTCAACACAACCCAAGTCAACCCAACCCAACTTGGTCAACACAACTCAACCCAACCCAACCCAACACGGTCAACACAACTCAACCCAACCCAACCCAACACGGTCAACACAACTCAACCCAACTCAGCTTCACTTGGACAACTCAAGTCAAGTCAACCCAACCCAACCCAACACAACTCAACACAACTCAACCCAACTTTACATGGTCAAGTCAAGCCAACTCAAGTTAAGTCAACTAAACTCAAACTGTTCAACACAACTCAACCCAAGTTGGTCAGCTCAACCCAACCCAACCACACGCAACCCAGCCTGGGCCACCCAACCCAACCCAGACAAACCCAACGGACCAACCCAAACTGGGCCGAGCCCGCCGGGGCCAGCCCCACCCAACCGAAGCCACGCCCACCTTTGGCGCGGTGATCCTCCTCCTTGGGGCAGTGCCCCCCTTCCCACCACTTCCTCTTGAGGATCTCCAGCCGGTTGTTCTCCTGCAGCTGCAGGATGGCCAGCGTGATCTCGTCGCGGAACGGCGACCCTGCCAGAGGAGGGGACGAGGGACACGACACCGGGGGGAGGTCCCACCTGCTTTCCCGGGGGGGGGCGGGAACCCCACCCCGGCCCCGCCCCGGCCCCGGCCCCGCCCCCCCGGCCCCGCGGTACCCAGCGGCATGCCGATGCCGTAGCCCTTGGTGTCCAGCAGCCCCCCGATCTGCGTCAGGTTGCAGTTGTGGCGCCGGTGGTACTCGTTCATGGTGGACTCCAGCAGGAAGGCGTACTTGGAGTTGAGGACGCGCGCGATGCCCTCCTCCGTGCTCTTGACGAAGACGCTGGGCTGCTTGGAGTGCATGTAGTTCCACATCCGCTGGTAGGTCTGGTAGCGCGGGGTTGAATTGCATTGGGATGGGTCAAGTTGGGTTGGGTTGGGTAGGGTTGGGTTGGGTTGGGTTGAGTTCGATTGGGGTGGGTTGACTGATTGATTGGTTGGGTGTATTGATCGGGTTGGGTTGATCCATTGGTTGGACTGATTTATTGGTTGGTTGGGTTGATTGATTGATTGATTGGTCCACTGGGTTGATTGGGTGGGTTTATTGATCGGGTTGGGTTGATCCATTGGTTGGATTGATTTATTGATTGGTTGGGTTGATTGATTGATTGATTGATTGGTCCACTGGGTTGATTGGGTGGGTTGGTTGACCGGGTTGGGTTGATCTATTGGTTGATTGGATGGATTGGATTGATTGATTGACTGATTGATCAGGTTGATCGGGTTCACTGATTGACTGATTGATCGATCGGGTTGGGTTGGGTTGGCTGGTTGAGTTGATTGGGTTGATTAATCATTTGATTGAGTTAAATGACTGGATGGATCGCCTTGATTGATCAACCAATGGGGTCGATGGATCAATCAGGCTGATTGATTGATTGATTGATTGGCCGATTGCGTCAGTTGGGTTGGTTGGGTTGGTTGGGTTGATTAATCATTTGATTGAGTTAAATGACTGGATGGATCGCCTTGATTGATCAACCAATGGGGTCGATCGATCGACCGATGGGGTCGATGGACCGATCGATCGATCAGGCTGACCGATCGATCCGTCGATCCGGCCCCTGACCTGGAAGAAGGTCATGGTGGAGCCGGCGTGGATGGTGCCGTACTCGATGTTGGTCTGGTCGGCGAGGTCGTCGGCCGACTCCACTGGCACCTCCATGCGCTGCACGGTCAGGAACGCCGCCAGGTTGGCCGTGTACGACGAGATGATGATGAGGGTGAACGCCCACCTGCGGGGGGGCGGGGGCA